ATTCCTCAGTGAATGGGCATTTGGGTTGTTTCCATGATTTAGCTATTACAAATTGCACTGCTGTAAACATGGGTGCTCACATATCGTTGTGGTCTGATGGAAAAATATCCAGAAGAGGAATATAGCTGGGTTGAATGGGACCTCTAATCCTAGTTTACTGAGGAATCTCCAGACTGATTTCCACAGTGGTTGCACCAGCGTACACTCCCACCAGCAGTGGAGAATGGTCCCTTTTTCCTCACAACCCCTCCAGCATTTGTTATTGGTTGATTTCTTGATGACAGCCATTCTTTCTGGAGTAAGATGGAATCTCAGTGTTGTTTTAAATTGCATTTCTTGAATGACTAATGACGTTTAAAATTTTTTCATATATTTATTTGCCATTTGTATTTCTTTATCTGAGAAATGTGTATTCATATCAGATGCCCATTTCTGGATTGAGTCTTTGAATTTGGGTGCCTGATTTTTTTTAATTTATCATATGTTGGAGATAAAAGTCCTTTGTCTGAGGGGAAGTTGGCTAAAATATTTCCAAGTTTCTGGGTTTTCTTTTTACTCTGCTGGTGATTTCTTTAGATGTGCAAAAACTTTTCAGTAAGATGAAATCTTACTGAAAAGTAAGATTTACTAGTTACTGATTCTTTGAAGAATTTCCCATGCAGTTTGGTTTTTGTTCATGAACTCTCTGCCTCCCCCTATATCTTCAAGATTTCTACCTACTTTCTCTTCCTCCATTAAATTTGAAGAATAGTTTTGCAGGATACATCAATCTCTGTTGGAAGCTGTTTTGTCTCAGTATCTGGATTACTTCACTCCAAGCTCTTCTCAACTGAATAGTTTGTGTTGAGAATTCTGCTGTGATTCTGATGGGCTTTCCTTTATAGGTGATTTGTTTCTTTTTCTAACAGCTTTGATATTCTGTTCTTTTGCTGGATATCTGGGATCGTGATTGCTGTGTCTGGATGTAGTTTTATTTTAGTTATGGCTATTTGGAGTTCTATATGCCTCACTTACTGTATGTCAAATTCTTTTTCCATGTTTGAGAAATTTTCTGCTACTATTTCTGCAAATATTCTTTTTATGTCATTAACGTTCCCTCCTGCTGTTTCATTGACACCTATTAGTCTTACATTATTTCTCTTTGCATCATCTTGCAGCTGTTGAATTGCTATTTTCTGGTTCCTTATTAATTTTAAGAGATCCTTCTTTTCATGATCATTAGCTACAATTCTGTCTTTGACATCTGAAATTCTATCTTCAGCTTCATTCAAGCAATTTAGCCAGCTTTCAATGGAAGTTTTTATTTCCTAGATATCTCTTTGAATCTGTTTCATGCATTCTAGTTCTTTCCTATATTGTTCATTTAACGTTTCCACCATTTTCCTATGCTCATTTATATATATATATATATTTATATATATATATATACACACACATATATATATATATGTATATATATCTTCTTTAGATGTGCTGAGCAATTCTTTCATTATTATTTTCATTTCATTTTTTTACTTGAGAGATTATTTCTGATCTCATTTCTTCTGTGGCCTGATGGAGCTGTTTCCTTACTTCCCATTTCAGAGATTTCAGGTGTGTGATTACCAATTTCTCCTATGTTGATGTCTCCTGGACTTGTTCTGGGTGGATTGGTGTTCTGAGATTGCATTTTGGTCCTTCATCTTGTCATTTTTGATGCTGGAGGCAGAGCACCTAGTCTCACACTTCCCTGGCAGCTCAGCAAAGGTCTCTAGTGTCCCTCGTCTTCTTGGGGGTCAGGCTTTCCCCTCTGTGGCCAGGGAAATGGGCTGCTCAGTCAGGGGTCACCAGACAGTTGGTGAAGTGTACCCAGCTCTGCCAGGTCTCAGAAGTGAAGCACAATGGCAGCAGATCATGTACCACCTGTACATGGCAGCTGAAGGCACACACAGGGCCCAGACCTGACCCTTGGTGCCAGCAGATCACAGATCACCTGGACCAGGGTCCTCAGGCATTTCAGGGTGCACCAAAGATATGCATGGGGCCTGGACAAGAACCATGGTGTCATGGGATAATGGATCCCTGGTCTCCAGTGTTCCCACACAGCTCAGGCATGCACAGGGTGTGTGCATGGCCCAGATATGAACCACAGTGTCAGGTGATTGGGAACTGCCTGGACCAGTGTCCCCAGGCAGCTTAGGGTGCCCACAGGGCCAAGACACAGACTGCAATGATGGCAGGATCATAGGATCCCTCAACTATTGTCCCCAGGAAGTTGATGGAATGTACCTGGCTCTCTCAGGGCTCAGCTGTGAACTGTGATGGCAGCAGATCAAAGGTCACAGTGTCTGGGCTCTCCAGACAGCTGATGCAGCAGGGAAGGCACACAGGCAAACCGTGGTATCAGTGTTTCATGGAATGCCTGGTCTCCAGTGTTCCCAGGCAGCTCTGAGCATTCTTATTTATCTTGTTCATTAGAGCTTGATCATGTTACAGGTTCAATAGAGGTTAGAGGCTAAGGGGAGGGAGGGAATGAGAGAGGGAGGGAAGAAGAGAGAGAGAGAGAGAGAGAGAGAGAGAGAGAGAGAGAGAGAATGAATGAGAACCATCTTCCTTACAAGAATAGGGTCTCCCCAAATGCCCATCAACTGAGGAATGGATAAAAAAGATGTGATCTTTTTCTACAAGGGAGTACTACTTGGCCATAAAGAAGGATAAACTGGAGATTTTTATCAGTAAATGGTATAACTTGGGACCATATTCATAAGTGAAATAAACTAGACTCACATGTGCAAATATTGTATTGTCTCTCTGGTGTGAAAAACTAAAAGAGTAAATAGGATCCAAAATGTCCAATAGATACCATAAAATGGAACAATACTCTTCAAAACAAAAGAGAAACTGGGATAGGGAAAGGAGAAAAAGAGGAAGGGAAAAGGATATACAGATATAAATATATAGATATTAGTTAAGATAGCTATACTACTAATTTCTCTTAGTTCATTGAAAAGAAAGGCTTGTGCTAATATTGTTTGAACACTTAAATGCCTATATCTTTTACTCTGAGCAACTAATTTAAAGATAATATGCAATTACTAGCCATTATTACCCTCATATTATCTTCTTTTGAAATTCTGGGTGTTTTTTCTCTTTACAATAAATAAAGAATAAGATCTTCATAAATATTTATTGGCCTGAACTGAATTAGACTTAACATAAGCCAAATAAAAGATCTGAGTAACTACTGAATCAAACAATTGAAATAGAAGACACACTTTGATACTTTAACGTCCTCATTTCATCTTCGCCCAGTCACCCAGATACAAATGGCAGGGTCAAATATTGACAGAACCTCCTGTCAGAGAAAATAGTCCTCAAGGAAACTGAAAAAGACAGAGGAGCAAGGAATAAAGGTATTGAGTGCCTTCGGTGTGAAAGGCTAAGAATTCCTAAAGTAATGATAGAAGATCCCTCAAAATCCCAAACTGGATGAACCACTACACTGTTGCCCAGAAAATGTCACATTTATTCACTTGTGCATGCACATGTTGGGCTAAATTGTAATTGCACTGGCATTGTGCAAATGGAGATGTAGTTAGTGCATTAGTCTGGCAATATTACACTTCTCTTAGGTGGATTTTAGAAATCCATAAACTTTCTCATTCCACACTAGGGAGAAATATAAGCTATGTATAAACAAAAAGCTATGATAGAACTGAAGTTAGTTTTCTTCATGGATTAGATGAACTGAATCACATAATTTTAGGGTCACAAAAGAATTTTATACACTCAACATTCAGTCAGTTTAGTTTTATTGATGTATACAGACTTCAGAAAAGCTAATCAAACTTTTTTGTAAAAGTTTACCATCTGATTAACAAAATGTAAATGCCAACTCTGAGTAATTCTACACCTGAAACACACGCCCTACCCAGATTATAGTAGGTTTACCTATGTCAATGTCTTGCTTGAAGAAAGGGGTAGAATTTGAAGAGGGAAAGAAGGTTGAAGCTCTGAAAAATAAAGTACAGGATGTTTCTCAAACTGCAATATTATAGTAATGGGTTCAACTTGCTACTTTTAAAACTATACTGTTTTATATTTCTCACTTCCTTTACTCTTCTTTTGATTTTCTTTTTTCTCCGTAGAGTTCTAGTTTCTTTCTCCTTGCTAAGGATAAACTGGAGGAAGGTGTTTATTTTGATGACAATAAGACCGCACATAAAGAAAATTGATCATATTGACCACTAGGAACTTTGAAGGCAGGAATGAAAGTTTTGCCATAAGACAACAAAAATTTAGAATAAAACAATTTAGGTTGCTACTGCTTCAAGAACACCCTTCTCTGTCCATTTTTGAAGATTCATTATACTTTGTCAGGTTCTCAGATATAATTTAACTGAAAATAAGAGATATACATCAATTAAAAGTTAATTGTACAAGGTTATAAAGTAGTAAGTTTTTAATGTGTATATGTCACACCAGTGATATAAACAATAAATAATATTATGAGTTTATAAGGAGAAGAATCCAAGGTCCTGTACGACATTCTCCCGTCAAGGGAAACTCTTCCTAAGCCATCTCAGACAGATATACTGTGTTCTAACTCCCATTCCTAGCAAACTAGATCTCTGGATAGGAATTTGCAAACTATTTCCTCTTAGAACTTTATAATGAAATATTTATAATAGAAAATATGATAATATCATGGTTTCACAGAGGAATATTTTATATTACTACATTCATCTTTAGATAGAAACTGTGTGCTCACAAGGGCAAACATCTGTAAACAGTCATAGTCTGTAGTCTAAGAGCCTCCCTCTCCCCATTTCAAATGTAAAACTTGATAAAAAGTGAAAAAGGAGTCACAGAATTCAATACCTAGCCCTAAATCTGTCAGTAAAGTTTTGATGTCCCATCACAAACTCTGAATCTATACTTAAGGCTGCTAAGTTTTGTGATCCTCCTGCACTGCTTCTAAGATCATTAACTTCCTTTTCAATCTTACAATTTCTGCATAGGTATCCTCTGACATTACAGCGTAAGAAACACTGAAGACCATAATAAGGAACATTTGTGAAGAGTACTATAGTGCCAGAAAGAGGTATGGCTCCCTTTTCAAAATGAATCTTGCTTTTTCAACTTGCAATTATGTTAACAAAGGGTCCTTCACCAACTGTACTAAAAATAAAATCAATTATGCTTATTGCTTACTTTCATTAATCAATTAATGATTCATTTGTTTTGTGCTATTTCTTTTTATACTGTATTATAACTTTTCCATATTTCTGAGTTACTCTTCATCCCAGTTTGAAGGAAGAAATGGATTCTTACACACTTTGTGTATCCAAAGAAATTTTCTGAATCCATCTAGTGGGGTTCACATCACTGGAGGATCACAGGAAATTATATAAAAGTAAATTAAGGGGCTGGCCATATAGCTCAGTGGCATAAGTGCCTACCAGGCAAGCACAAGGTCCTGAGCTCGATTCCCGGTCCCAAAAAAAAAAGTAAATTAAATGCTACTTCAGACAGATCACCTCATCATCTGTGAAATGATACTTAAAGAGGTTCTCTACCTCTCTAAGATTCAATACTTCTTTGCAAGTTTTACAGTCTTCTTTTTTATAGCTTAATATATATCATTGATGACTTATTTGTAATTGAATAATTTAAATGTTGAAATTAATAGAAAAGCTTATTTTGGTCTATAAAGGCTGGGGAACTTTTGAAAGGAACAAAACATCATTTATTTCTTTGTATATTTTTATTGCTATATTTACCAGTTTTATTTGGCATCTTTCATTCCGATATCTGACAATTTCCAATTCATTTTAGTATGTAACAGATGAAAAATAATCAGCTTTACCCTATTGCTGTGGAAAAATACCTGACACCCACAACTTAAAGAGGAGGTTTGATTTGGCTCAGTTTGAGAAGATATAGTGCATAATCAGCTAGCCCCAAAGAAGAAACATGTGAATATGTATGATGGAGTGGAGCTGCTCAGTTCATGGCAGGCAGGAAGTAGAGCAGGGGAAGAGCACCAGAAAGGATAAGACCATGAATCAGATGTAGTATCTAAAGTCATACCTTCATTACTTACCCAGACACACCCAGAAGTGTGCTTTCATAACCTCTAAATGGCGCACAAGTCAGCTTTAACATCACATTCAACCCCTTCTCAATTTGACTCCCAAACACATCTCCTTAAGTAATACTTAAACTCCAAAATACCACAAGGTCATAATTCCACCTAACATGACATAACTATCCTGTGTGCAGCCAAAAAGTCACTAATACCCTCCCCAAAATGGTGACAATTCCATCATTGCTCAAAAGTCCAAGTCCAAAGTCTCCCTTGAAACTCATGGGAAACTCTTAGCTTTGAACTTCTATAAAATTCAAAAAGCAAATTACATATTCATAGTATATACTGGCACAGGGTAAGACATTCCCATTCCAAAAAGGATGAATGTGGGCACTGAAAAGAATAAGACCAAACCAAGACAAAACAGTGCAAAGCAAGCAGTAAGTCCTGTAGCTCTGTATCTGGCATCCAGAGCACATGATGATGAAATCTGAATTCCAAAAGGGCTTGAGTAGTACCACCCCTATGGCCTTGCAGCCCACACAGCCTCTATCTTGGGGTGATTCTGCTCTTCATCTTACAACATTCCTAGGAAGATATTCCACATTCCTGGAATCTAAGACTTTCTGTGTTCTCCAACACATCTTCAGCTTCATACCCACAGCTTCATGTTACCCACCTCTTGTAGATACAATGCTTGGTTTCCCATGCCTTCCATTAAATTTTTGGTGGGACCCTCCACAATACCAGAACATTTGCCTTCTGCATACCTGAACAACTAACATCATGTGAACAATGCCAAGGTCTGCTGCCAGCTCAAGCAGTAACCTGGCCCCCTTGGACCATGGATGACATGGCCTGTGAGTGCCTGGATGGCTGAGCACTGGGAAATAAACCCCAGGGAACTAATTCCATAGGAGGCCCTTCTTAAGCAGGAGGATCTCAGGTTTTCTCCTAAAATGAAAGGTTTACACTTTTGCATCCTCCAGGTTGCAGTGGATATGGTCTTGCCAATTCCCAAGATGCCCTGAAGGCATCTTTCTTCTTGTCTCCATCCAAAATACTTGGTTCCTACTTTTTTCTAACAGTAGCAAAGTTTCATTAAAAGTAGGAAAAGAAACAGGCTCTGCAGAGCAAGTTTGGGTCAAGTAAAAGTTGGAAAAGAAGTACAATCTACAGCATAGGGGTGGGCCACCATGCAAGACAGAACACAGTGGCACAAACCCAATGTGGGCTGTCCTTTCTGTATCACCTACTCTTCAGGCTGATGTTAGATCTATGCCATCCTATCAAAAATCTACTCTACTTCTCACAAGAGTTCCATATGTAGGCTTTTCGGAACTGCTGTATGTCTGTGTCCTGGGAATTTGTAAATCACATGTGACACCTGCTTCCCCAGTCATCACTGCAACACACTAATCTCCTGTCTCATTTTCCTCTGAGAGACACATATCCACATAATTCTTTATGGGGGGTCAAGGGAGTAGAGGTCTCTGTTTTCTATAGCTTCTTCAGGCTGGAGGGAGCTGTAGACCCTACCTGCTGGATTATGTGCTGTCCTACTAGCTTGGGGTGTTGTGGCTCACTGCTGGGTTGAAGAAAAAAACTGTCAGAAGACAGTGAGAAAACAGTTAGTGACTACTGAGCTGTCTGTTTGATGAGGGGAAGTAATTTTACTATTATATTGGGATCTAGAATTCAAATATGAGGAGCAGATCAGATTTCCACACTTCTTGTGGATGACAAAGTATGGCAGAGTGAGGTTAAATTATCAAAAGCCTGAGAGCCATAACCTTAGCAAGATAGCCCACATAACGGATCCAATTAAAAACAGGAGCTTCAGTACAGGCACCCATTTAAATTGTGGTGAATTAAGGTCATCAGTGATTCTACTTAACTGCACCCAGAAAAATACTTAAGTCTTGCTTTCTGAAGAGGAGCTTCATTCCCCCAGAGGTCCTCAGGAGTAGTGTTCTACTTAATCCTGTGAAAATTCTAGTGACTATTTCCCATGTAGGATTTTTTTTTATAGCTTTGTCACTGCACCCCTTGAAGAAGGACCAGAATGGTTCCTCAGGGCTTGCGAATAAGTCTAGGGTCTTGAAGGGCTGTAGGACTACCCCTGCCTGTTTTTAATGGTGCCCAAATTTTATTTGAAAAGTGCAGGTTGAATGGGTATGGAAGAAATTACCTCTGCAGAGTAAACTTGGGCCAAAGAGAAAAAGAGAGTAAAAACAAAAATAATAGTACATACTGATCTGAGAAATGTGGTATGGGCTATCATAGGAATTCATGCTAGCAGCTCCTAGTGGCATCTAGTCTTCTTTGATGCTATACACACCTCATGAGAAATCACAAGAACTCCTACATATGGGGTCCTGGCATTGCTCTAGGATCTTGTATTTGACAAGCCCCACTCATTTTCTCCAGGAATCTTTGCCACATTTTATCCCCTGCATCACTTGCCCGTGAGAGACAAATCACATAAACCTTTCTGGGGTGCTCTCTGTCTTCCATAGATTCTGTCTTCTAAGTCTCTGGCTTCTATAGCTTCTTCAAGCTGGGATGGGCTGTAGACCCCACCTATTGGGATCATGTATTCTCCAACTACCTTGAGGTGTGGCTTGTGGCTGTGTTGAGGGGAAAAATACTGTTAGAAAATAATGAGAAAAGAGTGACCCTCAAGCTGCCTGTTAGACAAGAGAAAGAAAATTTACTATTAGCCCAGATATGAAGGCCAGGTCAGAATTCTGTGCTTCCTGTAGAGAAGAACGTATGTTAGAGAAGTGTGTCAGATAAATTATCAAAAGTCTAAGATCCATGGCCTGAGCAAGGTCTTGTTTACTTATCTATTGTAGCACCAGAGTCTTGTTTTTTGAAGAGAAATACCAAGTCTTCCAGAGGTTCACAGGAGTAGATTTTCTTACTGAATGATCATGTTCTTTAGACAGTTCAGGTGGGCCTACCTTTAATCTAGAAAGATGAATTGAATTATCTATCTCTGCCACCTTTACTGCAATGAATGTTGCAATAATCATTGAAAATGGACCTTTGCATTTTGGCTTTAATTGGTCTGTTGGTGTTACCACTCTCTAAATTTTTATGAGCACTCAGTCTCCAGGGTGGACACTAGGTGGTACCCCTGGGCCAGGAGCTGGCAAGGCTCTCCATACATTTGGGTAGCTTGTTATACTTAGCCCAGATTAATGAGATATTGTAAGAGTCTCACAGTCTCTGGCTCTACTATCATAGCAGAGGATAGAAATGGCCTTCCTTAACACCTTAAATGGACTCAAACTTAGCTCAGCTTTGGGGCATGTTATGAATCTTCCTGAGTGCTACTGGTACCAATCAGAGTCAGAACTCAGATGTCTCTTGGCAAAGTTTGGTCAGGCCTCACTTTAGGGTCTGGTTGGAGCTACCTTTCCAGAATACTGAAGCCACCAAGTGGAATGAAGGTGGTGCTTTATTCCTTTTTTATTTTAATAATAAAAGAATGAAAACATATTAACAAACACATATATTTACAAAATAACACAAAAAAATACAAGCAATACAGAATTTCAGACAAGGTGATAGGAAATTAACAATGGTTGTTGTATTACATCCTGATATCTTCAAATTGGTTACTCAGGTAAACAAATATAGATATGTAAGATTGATCAAACAATTAAACATTAACTGTTCTTTTCAATAAAGCAATAGAAGTCAGTAGTACAACTATGTTAGCTATCCCGTGTATAAGTATAAACATAATTTTCCCCTTCATTCACTTCTCTTTTCCCTCATCCCAGTTGTTCTTTATTTTTTGAGCATTTTCCTTTCATTTCACAATGTCTGTGATACCTCCTAATTTTTATTCAATCTTTCAGGTTCTTACACTAGTGAGACAATACAGTGTTTACACATGTGGGTCTGATTTATTTTACTTATGAGTATGCTCTCTAGTTGTGTCCATTTACCTAGAAAAGCCCTGAGTTTAGCTTTCTTTATAGCTGAGTAATACTCCATTA